CCGAGTAACTCTGTACGAATACCATGTACGGCCATCGTCAATATAGGCTCATTAAGTACCAGTTCAACGAAAGTACTCAGCGATAGCTCAGTGTCCGGGCGCTCGCTTTTCATATACGCGAACAATCTGAGTTCAAATCCCGGTGCCCGCAATAATGAATTTGCTAATTGCAATTTTAAGCGCTGACTCATCACATTCTCAACTATAAAGGCATACATTGTGTGGAATACTGCATATTTTCGTAATAATCGTAAAAATATTTCACCTTTGCACAACAGTGGTTGCTTATTTTACACAGTGTATACACAGCATTCTTCAAGCTTTAGATTTTACACGTATTCTGTAGATGAATCGGGTGGGGGGGGGGGGGAGTCCGTAAAAATATCTCATACTTAGATATAGTAAAGAAGCAAATATAGTAAAGAAGGTCTAAATTAAGAAGGTTAATAAAAACTATACTTATTTATTTTGGCGTGTAAAATGTTTGAGCAAGAGAATTCAAAACAAAAACTTTACCAAACTAAAAACTAAACCACAACGATTTGGTTGAACTCGGCCAGTCAGTTGAGAGATGATAAACATGATTTTCCTATTTGACTGATTATCTAATTTCTGAATACCCATTCCAATTTATTTCAGCACTATTTCCTTAGCTGAAAAAGGTAAAAAGTAAAACTGAATTACTTGATATTATATTTAAGTTAGTACATGCTTTATACAAGTCATAGAAAACGCTATGATTTTGCCATAGGTACAGAGAACCTGTTGTAGCCTTTTTTCTGTTTACGTGGCGGCAGTGATTATGAAAAAGTCGGGGTATATCGGACTCACGCTGATAAAAACCCCCACTATGTTTCACAAGGCGCATAACGGCAAGACCACATGAACGCTTTTGACCCTGCGCTGAGCGCATTAGTGCTATTCAGCCAAACATTCAGAGCGCCTTCCATTCGGCCCCTCTTGAACGAGCAATGAACTCCCATGAGCTCGTGCCATTGAGGCCATGGGAGTTAGAAGAGCTAGTGCAATAAGCAGCACACCACCCGCCCTTCAGCCGCGGACCTCCGCCGCCGAAACATGGTCGGCTGTATAGGTTAGGGAGAACGGCGTATTGCAATATTGATACTTCTCTCCATAGCAGCCCAACACTATTGCATCACCAGTGTAGCCCCGCTGAATTCCGGAGGATAAGGAGAGCGACCAAAAGCAATACCAACATTACTTTTCCACCTCAGTTGCAGATAACAGAAAGGGTGGCACTTCCTCTACCGTCTGTGGTAGGGCCAGCAGCAGCCTCGGCTGTTGCACGGATGAGCAGACTCGTCCATGTAAGTACCACGACCTCACAGAAGACCAGCGTAAAGAGGAAGTTTGACATATACTTTTGCGTTTCGTCTGGTGAGTGAGGTAGCTGGAGCACATTTTTCAAAAGGTTGTCAACGCATCTGTAACCCTTGGGTGTAGCAGATGTCCATGGGCGGCGGTATTCAATTAATATAAGGTGAACCGCCTGTTCGCTTGTCAACTTATCACAAAAAAAAATCTTCAACCTGCCCCCGTATCCCTCCTAGGACTCATCCAGAGTGGGCTCAATTAGCCCGCTTGGGCTTTTATATCAGCCTTGCCGAAAACGGTCATGTTTTATAATTATACTAGCGATCCCGATAGACGTTATTCTATACATGCGTCTTAAATCCGACAGCAACTAATAAATAAAAAATAAAGAAAAATTGTGGACCAAATGTTGTGAATATAAAACCATTCTCAAATCAATCTGAAGACACACAAAAAAATTATTTTATTGGTAACGGCATTTTAGGAGTTCAGTGAAATACACACGCACTGAAGAAATATAAATGTAAAGCTACAGATATCATATGGTAGTCAAAGTAAAGTGCCAATAATCAACTTCAACGAGACGTTGAGAGTAGGTAAATCGGTTGTATAAGTAAGCAAAGAGTAAAAAGCCTCCAGAGAAAAGAAATGTTGTGTTTATTTATATGAAAAGTTAGCCAGTGAGAAGGTGATCCACCTGATGTTAAGTCACTATCGCTATATATGGACATCGTCTACAACTGATGGATTGCAGATAAGTTACCAACCATAAAAAAGTGGGCCCTGGTTACCTCACAAACCAGACCAAATGCAAACATATAAATAATTCCATTTCACGTCGGTCTTCTGTGAGGCCGTGGTCATTCCTACAGTACCCTTATACTACCCATTCGTGCAACAGCAAAAACTGCTGCTTGGCCCTGCTATAACTTTTATTTCTTCCTTAGAAAACATTTTTTTTATACTTATTGGTATTAATTATAATGTTATACATTAAGGTCAGGGTGATCCGACGAGTATCACATTCTTTATGTATCATTTCATAAAATTTGCAACTCCAACTAAAATGAACGGCCTGGAATTTTTTATGGATAACTAAGAAAAGTCACATTTCACACAAAAGATATTTGTATTCTTTTTGTTTAAGCTGCTAAAAAGAACAACCCAGTTGATTTCAGTATGTCCAAAGTGCAACACTTATTTTCTGGCGTCTTTTGTTTCCATCTTTTAGAAAATTTACAAATTTCACTGACTTGACTTACATCCCGTTCGGTCTTGAGCTTCACGCTTCAATTCGCTCCACGTCTTCCCTATGTTTTTCGCCTCTGCGATGATCGTCCGCCGCCAGGTTTGCTTAGGGCGGCCGCGCTTACGCTTTTCTTGGGGATTCAAATCTAGTTTTGGCCTCGGTATGTGATCAGGTTCCCTTCGGAGCGTGTGGCCGATCCAGTTCCACTTGCGGCGTTTGATCTGCTGGTCGATCAGAGTCTCATCGCAGCACTCCCACAGTTCTGTATTGGAGATTTTCTCGGGCCAGTAAACATCAAGAATACGACGAAGACAGCGGTTGACAACGACCTGAGATGTCTTTGTAACCTTCCACGTCTCACATCCGTACAGCAACACGGTTTTTACGTTGGACCGGAATATTATGCCACAATCCCTGTAGACAAGAAATAGAAAACCTGCTTACAGGAGGCTGGGCTTGGATTTTATCGAGCCCTACCTTGTTAGTCTAATCCTCTATCTTTTTTTAACAAGGGGTCGCGGAGGTGCAGTGGAATGAACGAGTTTATTCTGCACTAGCTACCTTCGTTTTTTTTCTGCGAACAGACAGCTCCATCTTCCGATGTTCGGAAGATAGAGCTGTTTATACCGGTTACCGGTTACTGTTTGTTTCTGATTAGATATTTTTGTAACTGGCAATAATTTGGTTGTCTACATTCGCGCCAGAAATGCGTCCTATTGTCAAAAGTGTTTTCCAATAGTGATAGAAAATTTGTAATTATTTGTAAAAAAATTATGTATACTATGGATATAATCTAACTCTGAGTAGGTTTTTCCTTTTTAATATTTTTTTTGTTGCTTTGATTCGTTTTGTGGTATTAAAATAATCATATTACGGAGGTCCTATATATATGTTTAGTGTCCGCAGCTCTAATTGCAGCATATCAGCACATTGCATTCATTTATTTTAGAGAACAAATAATATTCTAACCAAAAAAAGTGTGTGTTAATACATTATGCTCAACAATTTTTAGAAATGCCTGAAGATCAATCTGCCGGTCCGGATCTAGGGCGAGTTCTTGAGCACCTAGATGATTTTGCGCTCAATGCCCAAAATTATCAGACTATACAAGATGCTTTAGAAAAAACCCAAGGAAATATAGAAGTGTCTGTTGTGGAAAAGCTACTGGCTTTATGTGTGCGCGATCTTAAAGAAGATATGAAAAATACTGTTAACACATTAAAAGTTCTTGCTGCCGTTTTGAAAAAAATTAAGGTTCGTTTTGGAAATTAATAGTAAAACTCAGTCGTGTATCGGAATAGCTTTAATTTTTTTTATTCGTAAAACATATGCTGACCTATATTTTTAAGTTCCTCAAAGGATATTCTAATCAATTTTATCTATATATGTATATATATAAACTATAGTATAATCAATATATTTATTTTCTAAAGATTGTTTATAAAAACTACCCCCATTTAGAATATGTTGTTAGTTGTATATGTAGTGATCTGAAGTTTTACATTTTATTTTAATAATGTTGTGCACCCTTTTAGGCAGGAGAATTGTATCAGTTACCAGACCTTGTCCCATCAGCAGTTGCTGTTCTGCATATAATTAAAACTACAGCTCTACTAAACAAAGTGGAGGGCCTTAAGATGTTGTGCTATGAAATTCTCCAATCTTATCCCAATGAAATACTTATTACTCTTGCAGTCAGCCATTACAGTGAAATAATGGAAATGTTGAATTTATATTGTCATCAGAGAATACCACTTGAAATGAGAATGCAGGTTTGTGTTTTTTGTTTATAATTTTATATAAAGTGTAAATGGTATTTATTTGGTATTGTAATTTATGGTATTAATTTCCATTACCACAGTTTGATTTTCGAGCTAACAAAAATCTTTTTTCGATAGAGAAAAATTACTAATGAAATAATCAACACGCAGAATTATCTGCTCACTCACATTTTTTGAGATAAAAATTATTTAAAACTTGTTATATTCACTACGAAAGTCTGCCATTTTACTAAGTGGTCTTCAAAAGCTCAATATACAGCTAATATGGTAAAATTAATAATACCGCTAATATGGTAAAATTTTCCATTTTGTTAGCTCCAATTAGTTATTTTCCAAGATTTTTGTTAGCTCGAAAATCAAACTGGTAATGGAAATTAATACCATAAATTTGTATGTTTATGTAAAATATAAAATCAGTAAATGACACATATACATATTTCATTTTGTAAAAAGAAATGAAACAGTTTAAATTTAATTAGAATGTTTTTAAATTAAAAGATATACCTATTACTCATTACTTTTGTTTTATGGAATATTTGTTGTTGCTTTTACTTGTGTGTTAAAGGCTATTATAATATTAGTGAATATTTCAATGATAACACACCCTGGAAATTAATTGATCGCCCCAGGCTCATCAAAGTGGACTTTAATACATTTATAACATGTTTCTTTGTCAAATAAGGGTAAAAATAAATGTCCCACTGAGTTTATTTCGCGGGTTCTTCTCAGCACGGTGGCTTTTCTTTTATGAACCGGTGTTTTGACAATCAATAAGTAAGTGTAATGCTTCTATATTGAATAAGGATATTTGAATTTGCTAAGTACTTATAGTGGTTGAGTGCACAGAATTTATAATTAAATTACAGTTTTTTGTAATAAAAAATCATATTTAATATTTTTGACTTCAGCCTATCAATATAATTTACAAATTGTTAAAAATCTTGCCCCCGGACAAACGAACAATATTTGTCAGAGATGGTGTGGGAATTTGGTTTTCTAAAATAGTACCCACGGTAATGTCTTTTGCAACTAATGTAAATGGAAAAAACACAGTGCCATTAGAAACTCTTGAAATGTTAACAGAGGAGCTTGTTGGTATTGACTATCTTCATAATCCGAATTGGAAAGCTGTCCTAGAGTGCGTACATACACAGCAAAAGTAAGTATTTAATTTTTTTTTTTGTATTTAAAAGTAATGCTTATTTACTCATTTGTGAAAAGAGTTTTGCCCTCTTTTTATCAAATGGATAATTTGTGATATCAACATAATTTTCTCAAACATTTTCAAACTTTATCATTAACATAATTAAATATCAATTGGTACATAATTAAAAGGTATTTAATGAGATGACCAGACGAATCTTGGGAATAGTTTCCAAATCCAAAAATCAGATTTTTGTTGAAATATTTTACTATTCACATAAATTACTACAAATAATACTGAACAAGGAATCTTACAAAAAATAATGTTCTAGGTACCCAGCCGTTATCAAAGACCTTTTGGATTCAGGAAGTGATATATGGTATAGGTTATGGATTATTTTCATAAAATTACTGAAGAATCAAATTACAAAAATTAACACTTCAGGAAAGCTAGGCAGCCCCATTAATTCAATGCTCCCGGCTGTGGAAACAGCTTTTAAAATGAATGTCAAAAACAGATGCCGCGCATTTCTGTGTTGGAATGTTTTGATTGATAATTTTTCTACAGAGACAAATGAGATCTATATAAATAAGAGACTTAAATTGCTTATGATTCCACTCACATCGAATAATGCAAAAGTTGAAGAGACTGTCATTGCAAAGCTTAATACATGGTGGCATTTAATCAGACAATTTGAAACAAAAATTGAAAGTTGCTTCGAAACCATAGTCCTACCTTTCTTACACTTTTGTTTTGGTAAAACTGGAGTTAAACCAGAAAAACCAGTCTTTGCTCCAGGATTGCTCACCATCAATACAAAGAGACAAGTTTTGCAAGCATTTGCCAATATTGCAGGACATGTCAATTGTGATTGTACTGTGAACATGAGCAAACTCAGTCGGAAAATACTCAATAGCACCAACTTGCTAGTTGATCATTGGGATAATTGGACGAATTCATTAACCATGACTATTAGAATATGTGTGAATGATAACAGCGATTCCGTAATGCAACATTTCAAATGTATTTGGAAATCATTTATTGCAAATATTGCAGAGGTATCAAAAAGTACTGATAGATACAATCTGTTTGTTGAGCTATTGGCAATACTTGAGGTGTTGCTCCAGGTAAAAGTTAATTAGTGGCAATATTTGTGTGATTTTTTTGTTGATATTTCAACTTGCTTTATTAATGTTTTTTTTTTTTTTTATTATAGAGTCCTCGTTGCGATAAGCTTGCAGATATAATATTTAACATAGTGACTTATTCTCTCATTGACCACAATGGCAAGGTTCAACCGTTATTTAATGCAAAAAATGAGAAAAATAGTCCAATCCATAAGATTGTGTCTTTAATACTGAATCCTTCTCTGGACTATGTTTTTACAAGGTATGATATTTAATGTAAAGTAAAGTATTGTTCACCTCACACATTCACCTGGTACATAAGGTGAAACTATTCCATATCCATGTCCATCTAGTAGTGTTTCTTTTTAGTCACCACTTAAAGTTCTATTTTATCACTGTTTTGTTTTTTGTGTGTTACACTATCAAATACATTGCTAAACACTGGTTAGGCCACTAGATACATTGTCATCATCATCAACTTTTTTCAATTTCATTTCAGATATGATGCTAAAGAAATTGTCGCCAAAATAAAGCCCCTTACCAAATTAATTGCTGAAGAATATTTAAAGGAAGTAACAGAAGGTTACTTAAAGTCACCACTAGTTAAAAATAATAGTTTGATGCTTTGGACTGCATTAGCTGAAGCCATATGTGAATTGAAATGTGACATCAGTGTGGAAATATTACAACATTTGTTAATATTGCCATTGAAATCAATGAGTTTGTTCACCTCTGTAAGTATGTACAACTGAAATTTAATGAACTAGTAAACACTTAACCTAATAATATTTTATTATAAAATTTTTTTAAAAAAGAGCAACTGTTGAGTTTCTTGCCGGTTTCTTCTCAACTGAAACTGCTTTCCGAACCGGTGGTAACTTCGAACGTGTTAATTTCTTGTAAAATTTTGACGTTTCATAAGATCGCGCAAGCGTCTATGTGAATAAAGATATTTTATTATTATTATTATATATACAAATATTAGCTTCCATGTATTAAGAGAAAGTAAGAATGAAATACTCAATTGCATAGGACACATTCTTACATATATTTTTTTATGTGACAAAGTGGCAATGAGCTTGCGATTCACCTGATGTTAAGTGATAACCGCTGCCCATGGACAAAAATGAAATCCTTGGGCGTGTGAAATTTCTATCAAGTTAACTGCTAAATCTAAATGCTATTTACATATTTACCCAGTTTACTCGCGCCCAACAATTATATTTTTTTGTCTCATCAATGCCATAAATTGGTGAGGAGCGTGGTGTGATGACTAGTATCTACATCATTTTATTTTCTCAATAAATCCGTTTAATTTAAAAAGTTTTACTAATTTTTTTATATACAACAAAACAGAACAAATTTTATTTCATTTCCAGGTGGAAATATCATCTTCTGCATGGTTTTTGCTGTACAAGTATGGACAAATTAAATTACATGATATCTCTGTTGATGAAGAAATTTGTGAAATTATTTCAAATCAAAGTATTATAAGTACAACAAACAAAATATTTATATTCAGAGCTTCGCTAGTCATTTGCAATAATATAATAGCAGATGAAAAGGGTTAGTAGCTATGTATTGACATTTGATCCCTTCTGTATTATTTTTGTCTTCTTAAACTATATCTATGATATAATATGAAATAGTAACAACATTTTGTTCTATTTGGCCTAATATTTCATTCAAATTATTGTCAGACTTTAGGAGTCTAATGGTTCAGCCAACAGCATTGTTTCAAAATCTTAGTTTTACACTTCATATTCCATTTACCCAATATTTAGTTTTTATCAAATATATTATGTATTTGGTGAAAAAATTAATTATGGATGAAATACATTAACATGAATTGAATTAACATTGAATTTCTTCAATTTCAAGGAAAAAGAACATTGAAATTATGATTATATTTTTATAAATTTGTTCATATGAGTATTACATTAAGTTCTGCATATGATTAATAAAGTTTCCTAGGATTGAAGTCAGGAAGTCGGCCGGTCGTAAAAAATATAGCCAAAATCACTTGCAAGATGATTCATATGTTGTGCCGACCCCACCTGGGTGGTATAAGGGAAGGTATAAGGTATATAAGGTGGTATAAGGGTGGTATAAGGGAAGGAGGATGGTGTTGATGATATTTATAATACAAGTAAAAAGTAAAGTGACAGCCTATACATGTATTAAGGCCTCCTCGCCTTTGCCCAGCAGTGGGACATGTATATATACAGAGGGTATCAGGGCATAGTCCACCACGCGGCCCCACTGTGGAATGGCGGACTTCACATATCTTCGAAATATATATATTTTGTTATTATTTCGAAAATATGCAGGGTTCCTCACGATGTTTTCCTTCACCACGGAGCACGTGATAAGTCAGCACTTAAGTTAAAAACTTCATTGGTGCCGGCACCGGGGATCGAACTCGGGTTGCTCGAGTATATTGAATTAAAGGCGAGCGCCGGATACTGAGCTATCACGGCTCTGATATGTATAATAATTCCAGAAAATTATTTTCAGACAATCTCATTTGCAAAGTTGCTGAAACATTGCACCATGTTACTAATGAAATGGAATATACATCTAAAGATGCTAATTTTTCATGTTACTCGAATATTATCTTGTTTCTCCTAGAAAAAGTTTATAATGAACCAAATGAGAAACTGGCTAAAGTAACGGTATCTATAGCTAACAACCTCTTGAAAATGATGTCCCAATATTATAAACAGGAATATCCAGATGTAAGTATACAATATAAGGGTAAATATAAAAATACTTTGTATAATTTACTTTTTTTAGAACTACTTTGTATTGAAGAACTACTTTGGATGTTATTGCATAATTTTCTTTAAGGTTATTATATTAATGGAACATGTAACTTTAAATTTAATTACAATAATTTTTGGTTTCTTTGTTTCAGAAAAATCTAGAGTCTAATTTAGTTGTTCAAGTTCTTGAGCAAATGCAATTATTATTTAAAAAAGAAATTTATACTCATTTAAAATCAATAGTATTGGATGATTTAAAGAAGTTTATACCTTACTTTAAACATAGTGGTGTGTTATCAATCCTAAATAGCATGCTAAATCAAAAGGGTGGCAAGAGTGAAACTGTAAGCAGCAGTGTGCCGATTGGTTTTCAAACTTTAGACAAGGAAAAAGTAAAAACTCCAAATATTAATGATCAGAATAAGTTCACCACTCCTGCTGTTAAACCTGTTGCCAAAAAAGAGAAGAAAAAAGACTCTAATATCATAGATACAGTTGTAGAGAATGGCGAAGAGTATGTTGTTGTCAAATCAAATTGGAAATTTAATATAACGAAGTTAACAGCCAATCAAAAAGAAAAATTACGGCGGACACGGGAAGATATTCCTGCATTGTATCAAGATTTGTCTCAATCACAAGATGAATTTAAAAGAGTTTATAGAATGAACTCTGTTGATTCTATGAGTGGTATGAGTAGTAAATCAACTGGAATGGAAAAAGAGGATGCGACTGAAGTATTAAAAAAAATGGCGAGTTCTAGTGTTGTACCTAGAATTATAGAGAATATTTTGACAGAAAGCAATAAAACAGACTGCACAGAGCCTAATCGCAACATTGTTGAAAGCGCTCCTCCAAATATTGACAATGATCATAAACATATTGAAGCAAAAACATGCAAATCTCCTCGCGTTGCGCTAAAAGACAGAGTGTTTAGAAATGTTAGAAATTTAATTGAGAAATCCGGTTTACAAAATGATGCCAAAGAATTAAACTCTACGGTCAATGAAAATTTACTAAAAACGCCGCCAAAGAAACAGAACGTTAATAAACATTTGGCTAATTCTGCGCCTCCCGAAATAAGTTCCGAAAGACCCTCCAGAGTGAAGAGAAAACCTAAGAAGTTTGATGACCTCAACATACTGCCAAGTAAGAAACGGCGTACTTCGACGAATCAAAACAATTCCGAAGCACTCGGTGTGAAAGCCAGTGAAACACAAACAGCAGAATCGGAAGGCTCAAAGAAACCTAAGTTGAATTTGGTCGATGAAACTATTTCGACTACTGCTTGTGAAGTGACAAAAACGGTTACGCCTGATGGAAACGTAAGTGAGCAGAATGTAGGGCAGATAGTGGACAGCACAAATGCCTTTTCTACACTTGGAGATCTAGATAACAATGCGGCAGATATAAAACCTAAAAATGATTTTCTTTTAAAAGAAGAACCTGATATTGAAGAAAAACAAGATGCAAAGTATTCAGAGCCATCATGTGGTATTGAAAACTTAATTGAAACAGATTCTTGCAATTTAAGTGATGACAAAAGTTTTTCAAAATTAATCACTCCAAATAAAATGTGCAAAGAGCAGAACGCAGGAGTACCGACGGCGAAAAAAAGCGGCAGAAGAAAATCTCGAATTGAAAAAGAACTAGCCATTGACATGGTAGAGGGGCATCCCTTTTTGAAAATGCAATCAGAGAAACGCTTAACTAGAAAGAATATTAACATTACTTCCCCTGCTCTGGTTAAAAGGAAAACATTAGTCGAAAAGTTGAATAAATCAAAAACTGATACCAATGTGGCGAAATCTGAAAAGAAACAAAAGAATAAGGACAAATTGAATAGTTCTAGCGATGAAAAACAAATTGATACATCAGAGGATATTGCGTCATCGCAATCTCAAGATATTATTGAGAGTTCCCAAGATTCTACAGTATCGTCTAGTATATCGGTGAAAACATGCAAAAAACCAAAGAGAATACCTATCGTTAGTGTGGAACCCTGTACAGATATTCCGAAAGCTTTACAACTGCTTAAAGAAAAGCAGGATTTAACGAACGGTGTGGCGTCGATAAGTGATGACATTGAATTGGGACACAACAAAACCGTGGTTCATGACGGAGTTGACGTCAACTCAACTGAAAATATGGACACACTGCCCGTGGAACGTGATAGCAGCTCGGATGTTATAATACGCAGCTACGGCGAAGCACCGATTGTTAGTAGGATCGACCAAACTGATACAGAATCGGGTACACAGAAAACGGCAAATGAAGACACACAATCGCTAGATCCGGCCCTCTTTTCGGAAGTAGCGAACAGCGCGCCAACGCGACCCGTTGAACAATCTACCACAATGATTGAGGAGAAATGTAATGATGTCATTCACGCCACCCCGGATGTGACTACACAGCGTTTCGACGGCGCTCAAACAATTGCTGAGACTGCAAACGTTGACACAGATTGCTCCCCATTCAAGGACGAAGCGCAGAGGAAACAAGACTTCATGAATAACACGCTAGAGATATCGCCCATTAAAATGTTGAGCCCTCTACAGGAGGAAAAAAAATCCCCGACACTCGAGACGAGCAGTGACTTTATGGTTATAACTCTATCGTCGCCCGTGCAAAGTAACGGGGAGCCGTTTGACAAGTCCGATTCGCCAGAAATATTCTCGAACGATAAGATATCGCCGGATAAAAGAGACCAGTCGCCACCCAGAGATGAGTGTGTAATGAGCAATCTAAGTCCAAGCTCCTCGTTGTCTCTTAAGAAAAATCGGCCGCAGGTGCGTTCTGGTGGTAGGGCGGCGCAGATGCTAGGTTTGTGCGTGCCCGATAGAATGCAGACGCTGACCAGCTCGGAGAAATCCGTCGAACCGGAGGAGCACAGAAGATCGATGGCGCTAAACACGTCCGCCAGACGAAATCTGCGTATACTTTACAACTCCACGGGCGAGAACAGTGAAGCCCACGACGGTAGCGAAGAGAGCGAATTTTTCCTCAAACTGAAGAGATCCATCCCCACAGCTGACAGCAGTCCATCCGGCCCCATATTGAAACGGAAGCTTAACGACATCGTTGACGAGACGACCGTATCGCCAGCATCCAAAGTAAGATCTAATACTAATTGTCCATTTTCCTATGTAGTGCTTAAGTTACTCATTGACGGCTTTTCGCGCATTGCAGAGAAAAAGGGTCAGTTTCCACGACCCGCCGGTGTCGACGACGGTTTGCGTCAAGAAGTACATAGAGCCGAGCGGTTTGCATTCTCCCCAGAACTCGGCGCTGAAACGCCAAGAGAGGCAGCTGCGCGCTCAGACCACCACGAAGACACCAAAGAGGCTGGACACCGTTTTCAAGTTGGACACGGTACTGACGAGAGCCGTCGAAAGTTTCTCCGAGAACGGCACCAATGTCGCTGGGGTTACGCCAATCAGTCAGCTAGAACAGACGCGATTGGCTGAGGTGGTCACCACGAGCGATTTGAATGGCACGGAACCCGTTTGCCCGGCGCTCGTCCACTGCAAAGACGGGATCGATAGGATCGCCACTAAACTGTCCTCGCCTGCTAAGAAATTGCTACTCATCCGCGAGTTCGAGGGCAAGGTGGAGACGATCGGCGACCTGGCCAAAATGACGGAACTGGAGGTGAACAGCTTGTCCATTAAGGCGCCGAAAGTCGAAGTGGCGAAGCGGGTCTTGAACGATTACGCGTTAAGATCCTTGAGGGTGGATTCGACCGAAGCCTGTGAGTGTATCGATCTTGATGACGAACCGTCGAAAACCGACACGCATACCGATGGTACGCCCGTAATTTACAAGGAAATGCAAACAGACGATGTATCAACCGTAGCCTCCGAACAGATTGCATCGACCTGTAGCGATGTTACGCAAACCGTTGAACCGGGGGCGAATTCTACTTCGAATTTAATCATATCATCCCTGTCGGAAGTGAGTATCATCCAAGAGTGCTGCATATTAATCACCGCTATTAATTTTAATTTGTAGTTTGTCTCCTTATTTGTGTTATTTTAATTCACACTAATTTTTCAGGGACCAGACTTTCTTGGTCAGCTATGTGGTCAACTTGACGAGCGAACGAAGAAAGAGATAGCGTGCAATTTGTCACTCGAAGTTCTTACCGAAGCGTTGTTGAAGAAAGTTGGTTTTTCAAAATCGTTTGACACATTAAGTCCCTTATTAGGGCACTCTCGTACTAATTGCTCATCGATAGACCCGTCTAGTATTACTCAGCTACCCGTTATTCAAAATTACTTGTGCGACAGTTTTGATAGCAAGGATTTGATCATATTCTGTAGCGAATTACTACGTAAGGTATCCGAGAAACCTGCTTAGAAGTAACTTTTAAAACAATCATTAGCTTTACATTACTGTAGAGTCGTTTTTATTTATTGCAACTTTTAAACCCCTGTATTAAACCGTGTCAAACTCTATGTAGAAATTAGGTTTGCAGTTAACTTTATATGTACTTTAAAATTTTAGATTTACAATGATGAGACTTGACAATGATTATCATACTAGTACAGTAATAAGTTAATGTTTAAGACACTCAGTAGTCTACTTACTAAGCGATAGGGTTTTAATTGTATGTAGAAAATAAACTTACGAAAGTATAAAAACTAATTTTATTTCATACAAAACAACTTCAAATATTTACATTATTCAGTCATGAGCAATGGGCCGTGGGGGCCACAAGTATTTTTATCCCGTTTTCATTCATACAGTTAAAACAATGTAATAGCAGCAAACGCAAAATGTTACCTTTCTTTGAATGAGCGTCGTATTTGTAACGTTGTCAAAATTTAACATTAGATAAATACCTTCAAAATAATGTGGAATATGATCATAACTGAAGAATATTTAGGCACATGGCGGAAATATATCACAATATTTACACATTTTAAAATGATATAGGTAACGTTAAAGCTTTACATTAATAAGACATTAAATACACACATATTTACAACTTTCGATTATGCTACAACACACCCATCCCGGAGATAATTATAATTATCACACTATTCCCTAATTTTAACTTAATTAGAGTTTAGCCTTCAACTCTACCAAAAAATAGTTTGAATATAAGCTAGTAATATGGACTGACTGTTAGCGGTAATTACGTAGACTTTAGGAACTCAATGTTCAAATAAATTATTTAATAAACCTTTCCGCTCTTTCTCTTTGTGTTAAAATCTCTGTAATGTGTTGTGAAGAATTTTTTTACCATTCCTTATTGTATTTGTAAAATAGTGGTACTATTGTCTTCATCAGAACAATATTAAAAAGTAACTAAAATAAAGATCTTCAACAAACTGACCATGATTGCTGTTGCTTCTTATGTATGAATTTAATCACGGAAAACTGACAGATACATTGACGGTTTAGACTACCCCATACAAAAGTTTTTATTCGATATAATCATCTTGCAACTTACTACAAAACATTCCATTAAATGTAACCTTATGTCGTAAATTACTACGTTCTAAAATAATCATATTACAACTATAACTGATTAAGCGCGAAACATTTTCAATTTCCGGCGCAGGAAAAGTGAAACTTTGGTCCGAATATTGAGCACTTGAATTGAACATTAACTAACGTTGACATTGAGGTCGGGTCACTGTCAGGGGAAACGCATCTCCGCTACGTAGTCTAAGTGCTCGAGGTTTTGGTGCGAGTTGGAGCGGCGCGGGTTTTTGGGCCTGTGGATGTTGTGGTGGGAGTGGGCGCGCGTGACCCTGTAGGGACCCTCGCGGCGGGGCCCCGCATCGCTGGTCTTGCGCGGTGCGACCCAATCGCCGTCCCTCACTTGGCCCTTGCGGTAGTTGTCGGCCGCCCGCCTGTTGTCCTCGTGGCGTTGCCTCTGCCGGGTTCTGTCCGCCTCGCGGCCGTACAAATCCAGCTCGCCGGACGGCTGGAATTGGCTGGCGCCCTGGTAGCTCGCCCTCCAGCCCTCCTCGTACCTCTTCCTCGTGTTGCCGTCGCCCCCTATCTGTCTGCGCTGCGACTGATTCGAGCTGCTCTCGCTAGTGTCCTCGCCCGACGTGCCTATGCCCAGGTCCTTGTCCTCGCCGTATATCTTGTAGACGCCGTTCGGGTTCACGCCCTTGCCGTTGAATATCTGGTCGTTCAACACCAGCTGCGGGTGTGGCAGGCAGTACGGGTGCGGGAAGCGCTTGTCGGCGGCCGTCATCCTCACGTCCTTCGTCCTCGTGCAGGATCCCGGCCCGAATAGCGAGAGTAGCACCGGCAGCAGGAACAAGCCGTGCATCGCACCGAAGAATATGACCATGAATACCATTTTGAAGAAAACCGAAAATATGTAGCTGTCCGCCAGCAACAATGCGACGACACCCAGAATTGTGCTGAACGAACCTTGGACTATTGGGAGACCTAGGGAATATAAACATTCGCTAACCCTCTCGTCGGGAGTTTTCGCTTTCGATGCCATGTAAGCGTAGCAAATGTGCGCCGTGAAGTCGACGGAGAAACCAATGCACATGATTAAATTGATCATTGATATGGAATCGAGATTAATATCCCACAGTGCCATGTATCCCACAACACCAATTTCTATCGATATAATACTAAAAGCTACCCACAAAGAGCATAAAATATTAGGAATGAAGATGAAGGATGTGATCATCATCATAAGTGCTCCGTAACACAGATTTTGAAGCGACATTGGTCTGACAAGCTCGAACTGAAAAAGAAAATATAATGTTAGATTTTTTATTAAAGCGTTTTAAACACTTGAATATTAATACATGTACAGGGTGAATGTGTTACCTGATCAAAGAAGACAAAATAAGGATGGAAAACTGAAGCATTCAGAGGCGATTCGGCTACAATATCTCTAAGCACTTTGACCATCTCTTTTTCGTGGTTGGTACCGCTAATGTTGATGGCCTGTATTAAAAATCTCGACGCGACAATTTGATCCCCGGCTTCGTTAAATTTAACGTCCAAAGAGAACGGATTTGCCGAGAAAAGCCATAACTGAAAGCGAATAAAAAATATTGAGTAGTTTTTTAAAGATGCTGAAAGACGATAAATTTCAAACTGTAATGTGTGATTCAACTATAAATTCTGTTTGATTAGTTAGTTTTACTAAAAAGCTAGCAACCAAGTAATTTGGTTTACATGATTCAGTGATCGATCACAGTTTTAGGACAGATCCATCAGCTTATGAGTAATATCACCTTCTGCTTACCTCTTTAAGATTCTTTATAAAATCAACTTCGTTGTCAATGGTGACGTTCAGGTAATCGTTATTTCTCGATACGTAATTCACGAATGTGCGTAGCCATGATTCTGTGTACAAGGAGTTCGAGATATACGACGTATTTTCCAATTTTTGGGTCAGTGTTTCAACTTCGTCTTGCACTTTTGGGTCTGAATAATTATAACTTCCAGTAATCACAACCTGAAAAAAGAATTATATTTAAGTTCGTCAAAGGAACCGAAAAGATATGTAGCAGGCATGTAATATAGAAACATTTTGTGAATAAGACTATCTACGAATTATATTGTCAAATTCTCTAATTACTTCGCAATAAATATACAATAAATTTAGAGTGGAAAATGATTGAGCCTTTTCCCTTAACCATATATATTGTAATGTTACACGTATCGCTAAAATATAAAATTATTATTTTTTATTGTCTTCGGAATACATATAGCCAAAGAAAATTAATAACATATGTGTAAATGCAGAACAGCTATAAAGGAGCTAATGACATTTTTAAACAACGTATCTTATAGTAGAACTTTTGTTATTACAAATATTTTGGATAATTAAGAAGTATTTCAGAAGTTGAAATTTAACAAGTTGAATCGGTAAGTTTATGTTACATAGACTTTTGAATGGTAACTAGTAGAAATTTAAGACATGCATGCAAGACTTACACCTATACAAACCTAAATAGCCCTAGCTGATAGCAAACTAGATGACTAACAGCCAATAACAGCCTTCACTTTGTTAGCTGTATAGTTATAACATCTCAAAGTTAGCAAAATTAAAAAAAAATTTCGGATAAATTTACCCGTCGGTAATTTAATGCTAGTCTTTATTGGTTATAACAGAAAATCAATGAGAGCTTTAATGCTCACTAAGATAAATTATGAACGGGATTTCTTACCTGTATTCTATAGGGGAATTCTCTGTAATAGAGATCTTCACGGTCGAAGAACTCCACAGAGTACGAATCCACCTTAGACAGCTTCCTTCTTTCCAAGCCTTCTTTGAGGTTCGTCACACCGTAACCGGCTCCGGCGAGGTACAATAAGAACACGACTATGACCAGTGCCTTGACCAAGCTGTTGTTGAGAAAGTTCGCCATAGTAGTACGGAAGAATGCCATAATGCAGTGTTCTTTATTGTCCACTGGGTTGTCTGGGTCGGCGATATCTATTCCACCACTACAGAATATCCTGTACAACCATGACTTGTCTTCTGCAACAAAGCGCTTTTAATTAAAAACCATTATAACAAAAGTAGATAAAAAACTAAATTAGTTAATCATGTTTGCGCTTGGTTTTGTTAAAAACTGTATAAAAAACTGTGATCATTATATATTACATACAGCGTGTCGTTACCATCGCGACAATAAATGAACACACGTCTAACGCTACTTGCCAATAATCATAAAAAAATATGAACGTTAAACAAAATCCATAATTAAAAAAATATTTTTCAAACAAACTAATTAAGTAAAAAAGAAACAAAATTTGTAACATCCTATACAACTCACGCCACAGCGTCTTATTACAAGCCTCTCCTTCTAACAGTATGTTTTGTCTCTTTTAAATTCATTCAACCCATTCATATGCTTTGTGACCTTTACAAATGAACTTTACGTTACGCTTTTATAGGTAAGGGTGTTCTAAAATTTTTTGTTTTGGAAAATTTAATAACTCTGGAAATATTGATGTTTAAAGAATTTAAATGTTTAATACAACTTTAAAAAGTTATCCCCTATATGTGTGTTCATTTATTGTCGCGATGGTAACGACACGCTGTATATAGATATAATAGTCGAAGGCAAACGCGTTCACTTTCCTCATGTTTACTCGGGAGCAGTCAAGTACAGTTGAAATCACGTTTTGTAGTGAAAGTAAATACTTCCAAGAATTTATTCAAATAAACGTGTATTCGGCTTCGCCCAATAAAGTTGTTATTTGCGCTGATATTGTTTGTTTATTCGCTGTATAAAGTAATTAATTAATATTTACTTAATGATATATATGTTTACGAGTATTGATTAAATATTACCTTTGCGAGCTCTTGACTCCGGCAATACTTTTAGCCACGTGATAGTGTGCCTGTTTTGCTTTTCTCGGTATCCGGATACAGCTACGCAACCAGCGAAGAATGTCAGATGCCACACGAAAGTGAAGCAAACGGCCAGACCTTTGGAACACGTATAAGATTATTTACGATGAAATAGTACGAGAATATAAACAAACATTCTGTGACCAAGCTTACCCGAGTACATGCAGAAGATTTGTACCGACGGGAAAGGTGAGAAGATGCCGATGAAGAACGAAAGCATGTCCGTGACTGATGTTATCGTTATAGAAACTGCCGCCTCTGAAAGCATGGTCGCCATCCTTTCAGGCACTGGGAGTTTGGGCGAAGTGCGCCGCCACGCGGCCAGCATTACGAACGTGTCATCAATACCGATACCTGAAGAGTAACCGGACTTATTAGATTTTGTTTCGGATTATAAGAATAAGCTTATAACATGGTAATTATATTCACCGATCATCAGAAACGGGGCGGCTAAGTTTATCCCGATGAAGGATATCCCCAGGTATATTGCGCAGCCAAAGGCCGCTACCGTTGCCATGACTGCCGAGATATTTCCAAGTAGACCCAGCCAAGGCTTCGAGCGGACCCAGTCGCCCATCATGCAAGTGATAATCGAGAATATCCCCATTAGAATGAATGTTGAACTGAAGAAGGGTATGACTGTTCGTGTGTTTTTCTCCAGCTCGTGGTCGAGCGTTCGCGACGCGAAGCGGGCGATCGAAATGTGCTTGAATCGTCCCGTGTCTTCAGCTATGCCCACTTCATCGAGAAACGCGTCTTCCCACGCCGCTCCCCTGAAGAATTAAAGATAAAACTTGTAGAACAAGCGTTGTCACATCCTTATTATCGATTCTAGTTACAATAACCGAATCGTTGATAACAATGAAGATTTAAGTATTGTTTTATAAAAATTTAAAACAGGTACATTTCATTTACAGAAAAAAAATAAAACAAAAGCCAAATAAGATTACGTAGTGTCACTCTAAATTAATATAGATAGTTATAATTGGAATTGGTATAATTTTATTATGAAATATTAATACAATTGCTTTAATTAAAGAACTGGGTTTCTAAAAAGTTTCGTTAGGTAGGTATTGATTTTCTAACGTATTTCAATACTGCCAAAGCATAATTTTTCGTAATCCTGACCTGCACCACGAAATTTTGTTCATCAACCGCTTATACCTTTCTATTCGTATTCCGGTCGAATGTTACGCAGCGTTTAGAATTCGAAACGATTTCGTGAACCGTGTCAAGATCGTAGTCTATTATTCAATTTATGAGAATTGGTTCTTCGAATATAGAAATAGAATAACAAAACATGAGAAGCATAGTGTACTATTATTAGGGTAATTTTGGTTACAAAGAACTTTAACGAATTGTAAGATGCGTTTTCTTTCAGTCGCTTGAAACTGCTTACAATCGCGCCTTCCTTGTATTGCGTGAGTAGGACAATTAGAACTGCTTATTTTTATTTGTTTTACTGATTGGCCGTTTAAACGATTGTAGTTAAGGTATATATCCGCACGATTAGACTACAAAAATACTCTTGAATATACATGATCTTGTTAAATGTTGGCAATTATCGTCTCATAATAATATATTACTTATTAGTGTATATTAACTTTACGTTTACTTTAGTATTAAGCTTAGAATATTTTTATATATAAGGAAAGGGTATTAAGTACCTTTTGCATAATATGTGACCTGCCTTAATGTTTTCTGTTTCGTAACCTGAATACATAATGTAGATAAAACCTTTATTATATATTATATCCATCATTTACTGTTTATTTTAACTTGTGGAAATAATTATCTTAACAATATGATTGAGTTCCGTACCAAAAGGTAAAACGGGAACCTATTACTACGACTCCGGTGTCTGTCTGTCTGCCCGTCTATCACCAGGCTGTATCTCATGAGCCGTGATAATAAGAAATTTCAACTAATTTTCACAGACGATGTATTTCTGTTAAAACAACAAATACTAAAAAATAGAATAAAAAATATTTAAGTGGGCCTCCCATTGAATGGACATGATTTTTTTGCCGTTTTATAGATAATGGTACGGAACCTTTAATGCGGAAGTCCGACTCACACTTGGTCGGATTTTCATTTGTTCGTAATGGTTAATCCTTGAAACTGGTAACTCGACTATATTATTGAATTAAAAATAGTTTTTTTTTTAAATTTTATAAATACATTTAATGTATTTATAAAATTTACTTAAATTTGCCTACCCGTGTGCAGGCGAGGTAAACAAATGTGTATACAGAGTGATATTATGACCTATTTTCAATGGACTTTAAAAAACACGTTTTCAATTTGGTTACGTATACCTATATTTATATAGTTTGTTACTTCAGAATTTTGTCATTTATGGACCGATTTTCAAATTTATTTTTAAGTTGAGCTAGTTTTAGCTCCCATGTAGATATACATATGTAATATAGGAATATTAATCTTACATTTCGCATTGGACCTTGGACTCGGGAGTTATATCAGAGAACTCCCCATAATCAAATAAAAAATGTATAGTGAGGCAATAGTCGGTTTTAAGAATGTTCCATTACCTTTCCTGCTGTAGTTTAGTGTCGGTCCTGACGAACCATACGAGCTGCACGGCAGGTACAGACACTATGGTGTCGTCCACCACTTTGGAGCCGCCGAAGTAGACTGGAAACGCATGGGCCTCCCATGTTACGGGGTTGAACATTATAGGAAACGTTAGATTCAACTCGCCTCGCTCCACCTGTAAATAATCGTCGCAGAAATATAATATAAATACGTTAATTTAGGTTCAGAAAAATCTGTTAATAGACAACTAAGCATGTAAAATAAAGCAGTAAAGAGCTTCACATAAAAGAAAGTTCCTTCAATCACGATTGAATACATTAGGTTTCAATATGTGTGTTTCTAATATGTATTTGAAATCTGAGGGATCGTTAGGTCCATTTAGAATCATAATCCCTTGTGGGGCAATAATTAGTAAAATAGGTAGCACACCTTTTTCCGAGTAACCATCTATTGTTACTCATTTGCTACTATTTAATAACAATGGACTGATATACATATTTACGCGGAAGAATGTGTCATAATGTCCCATCGAGGCTTACGATGAGTTTAGTCATGGATCGTCGATTATGATCTGCGGTTTTGGTGTCTATCGACTGAGTAATGGCTCATTGTTATTGGTTTCTGTAGGCGAGTAATTTAATGTTCCATGTAAAATATGGAAGCGTTACGTTTATACGGAAAATAAAACTATCAATTTGTTTTATTGGTTTGTAAACTACTGTTTTTTGCCGTAAACAATAAACTATACGTGTGAAGTTATGTTGTTTATAATCCGTATGTTACAAAAAAATATTCCATTTGCAACAGCAAATACTACTGATTACCGATATAATATTAGGACTAAGGTCTTTCTTAAATGAATTGACAAATATTTACTCAGTTAACAACAATTAAAAACCCCTAAAGTAATTAGATATGTTGCATTCACTGAGAATTTTACGAAATTTTAAGCTTAGAAAATTAATAAAGGATTAAAACTCAATAAACGTAATTGACTTAATTACATTGGAATTTTAACACCTACCTCGCCTATAATTTTGTCGAGGTTGAGTATGTCGTTTACGAAGCACTGCCCCTCCCATCTGGCACACTCTTCTTTGTATGTAAAAGTCTCTCCGCTGGGTAAGGTGACCGTTATGTTCTGTACCAATTCGTCCAGCTGCCTAAGCTCCTTCCAAACTTCCGTTCGCAGCATGTTGGTAATGTTGTCCTTTGCCACGATAATGACTCGGCCGAATCTGCCTGTATGTTGAAAGATCTGTTCTTTATATACTTGCTGCAAAGGACTTTGACGAACAAAGAGATAAAGAGGTTTTTCCTTTGATAGAATAAGTTATTAAGTGGTTTTTTAAATTGTAAATTAGCCGCCAATAGGTTGTTCAATTTTTGCCGACTACTGACTTCTGAAATTCGAAACCTTAAATCGCAATCATATTAGTTACATTTATGCTGTAAATAAAATTTAATTTGTGTTCTATTGACTTCATTACATCAGTTTTTTCTTATTCTTAGCAAGATATTAAAATTAATCAAATTATGAAACTGACATCACATAACATTTTCAAGACTCGTTTTGTCAATGTATAGATTGATGCTTTTCTTTTTTTCTGTAAGACAAAAATTTTTGGACCAAATTTCCCGCCCTCTAAAATCCACCGCCCTAGGCTGATTTTAGAGGGCGGATTTACCAGCAGGCCTCCTTAGCCTGCTGGTAAATCTGCCACTGTCTAGGGGACATTATTAGCTTCGCAATCAAACTCTGCTAACACCAACTTTAACTACCTAAAACTAAAAAAATCTCCACTGTCGTACCCGGGGCTCACTTATTTGCATGGTTGGCAATGCATCAACTCCATGGACGGGGTAATCAACATAAGAAAGAACCGCCTCTTCGATTACAATCTTCTCATAAATAAAATAAAACATTAAAAAGAGTATTTTTTGAAGACATGCTAATATTGGTTAATTACGAGTTCTACCCATGAATTTATATTTTTATTTACAATAATCAAAACGATAAATTTTTTATTAAATTTTTTCGTTCTGATTTTAAGATATTTAGATAAATATTATAAAATAAATGTTGTATAAAATGGTAAGCAAATAAAGGTACTAAATGGCATGTACCTACTACATGTACAATTATTTTTACCGATTCTTTGATTTTTATTAAAAAAAGTATTTGTTGTTCAAGGCAAAAGCTGTTTCTTTAACTTGTTATACGGCTGCAGCACTATTCGTTTTTACATTTTGTTTCCCAAGGCCCTATTAATTACATTCGATATGTTTTGAGGCCGTTGTGCCATATATTTTATAACAATTTTCCATCGATTACTTATTTTTTTTAATATTGCGAAGATGCGCAAAGCGTCAATGAGTTAGACTTATAGAACTTATAGACTGAATAGACTTAGAATTATAGACTTTACCTACTTTTTTTTTACTTATATTTTACGTTTGTGTTCTTATACATATACGTGTCTATACTTAACCAGTTTTTTTTTACATTCAAAGCTAGGTAGGGGCTGATGTAATATTTGTTTGCGAATGTCAGAAACTTATTCAAAACGTACAACGTTCTTAAAGACATGCTCAGTTCTCGAATTCTCGCGTTTTATTGTCTGAGCAATATCATTTAAATTAATGTATACTATTAACGATACGTATGATAGTAAATGCCCACGTGCGGTAAATGTGTGGATAGCTCTATTCGAATTTTAATAAATGTTATTTTTCACATGGACCGTTTCTTTAGAGCGTCTACATGGATTTGTGATAAAATCAAACATACCTGCGCGGGTAATCCTTCCAACGCTAAATCGTTGGGAGTAATTGACTTTGAAGTGCTCCTCCACGATTCTCCTCTCCAGTTTTCCCTGACCGCTGACTGGTGAGAACAAGTATTCTGGATCCATTTCGTAATGTACTCGTTGGTAGCCGGTCACCATAAGCAGCGTGAGCAAAACGGGTATGATGATGAAGTAACCCGGCTGTTTTCCAACAATAAGCCCCAATTTGTAGAAGGATCGATTCAAAACATCGTCGACGAAAGTTAGCTTGCAACCCATCTGTAACAAACGTGTTCTCTTTTTAATACAAGTTTATTTGCAGCAAAATATTTGAAACATAACACACGAACTAACAGAAATAAATGTGATTTATTCCATGTGAGAGCGTGCTAAGTGCTTTGTTTTTATCACTAAAATCATTAGATACTTATTTCAGTTCATAACATCCACAATCCTTTTAATATTTCTATAATATTGTAAACAAATTTTATTAAAGCACATTTAAAATTAGGCAAAATTTGTTAAATATAATATTTTGTGTAGTAAAGTAGGTTTATTATTAAAATCAAATTCTAAATATACAAAGTATGATGGTAAGCGACTATACTTAATGCTCTTAAAAATAAATAATAGTGACAAAAAGTTCCTCACGCTTCAATTAACGATACTAAGAGTGTACTTAAAGAACCTAAACAAATATTTATAAAGCATTGGATAAAGCAATATTTATGGACGCGTTGTTATCTATAAAATCAAAGCTCTTAAATGTCATGGAATTATTTTAAAATACTTCTGACCATAGTAAAATAAATAATGAACAGGAAACCAATTACGCTAATTACCAATATAAGTAAGTCGATATGACGCTAAGTGTTGTCAACTATAGTCCAGTATCTTATTTATTAGTTAATATAATAAATAAATAACTATGTTGTATTTGTGCTAATTAGTCAAGTTGGTTGACCCCAAGATTCTGCTTTGATTCTTAGTTGATAAATAAAAAAATGCATACAGTTGAATGTAGTACCTTTTCCTTTTTTTATTGACGTTAACTACTATTAACTAAATTAGGGCACCGAAACACACATTGATGACCTGTCGATTCGTTAAAAAATCTTCAATAAATACAAGAACCAGCACGTTTTTATTTAATTACTTGATTTTTTTAAAACACAAAAAAGTTTATTCCGATTTTCAACATGTATTTGAAAACTGTGGTCAGTCGACCGCCAATGCCTTCGGGCGATTCTATCATAACATGTAGATTATTAGTGCGGACCTCCTTGACCGACGAAGTCCGACTACCTTTCACTTATATAGGTGTAGTACAGTACGTACCTTACCGTAAAATGTTATTTTAAAAATATCAAGCGCTAAATCTTACCGTTGAACAATACCGAAATTATTCGTCGAATTTTTCCACTATTGCACAATACTTTATGATTTGGAATTAAGTTACAGCCGTACTATTTCGTTTGTCTAGCCGTTAATCAACATTGAAAACGAGTAAGAACTTTGGTCTTTGCCTACGACCTTTGGCTACTATCCAAAGAATGTTAAAATGTTTATTTACTATGTTACACGCGTACTCGTGGCTTAATTTAAATAAGTCGTACGATGTAGATTTTATCTCCATATTTTCTCTCCGAGACCATAGTTATTTCGTAGTATGTATTTTCTGGAAAATATGTAGTTTGTTACCCGGGTTTTCCGATTATGTCTAAAATAACAAACGAAGGTCATATTCAGCTGAAACTAAACAAATTGTTCTGATACTTGACCATGACAAAGTTTTTCCCGAGCGTTTGCTACGGTGGTTTTTATGTTAGTGTCTACGACGCGATCATGACGCGTTTTTTTTTAATTTCGCTAGTTTGTATACTTATTTGAAATTACTTCTTAAAATTTGCCAGATAGATTAATTTAGACTCCCCAGATTGAAATTTATTTTAGAATGATTTATAGCGCTATAATGTGAGTGCTCACCCACGTCCTAAATTATAACAATTGAAGGACTAGATGTGGGCGATCTCGTCTGGTAATTTAAGAGTATTTTTAAATTACACTGCATCTGATTTAATCATATCAGCGGGTAATATAAACTCGAAAAATTGTGTCATAAACTATTTGTCACATTTTTAGACCATAACCGGTGACGTAGACAGTCATTCAATCCAATCATCCTTAGCTTATAGCAGTTTAACTATAACCTTAATCACCATAAAAAACGAATACTGGGTCTTGGACTTAAGGAAGCTGTAAAAGTTTAATTATTAATTATTTAATATTCATCTAAGTTTTCATTAAGAAGTTCAAAGAAGCAATCATAACTTTGACTATAAATGATTAGCTTCAATTTTTTTAAATGGAAAATGCTTAAGTCCTTTGCTTGTTTCTTGGTATCTTAATGTATATTATTGAAGTCATACAAAATACGCTTACGTGCTGTTCTACCTTTGCGTATACATAGTCGTCAGGGGCCCGTTGGTACACAAGAGAAACATCTCAATAGAGTTGATATAGTGTGGGGTTGCTTTTTTACAAAAACAGCAGTTTCATAGATATACATATGAGGACTTGAGTGTCATAATTTTATTATTAAACGGTTTTATTTAGCTCGACCCGTACGGAATTTGTTTATTTATTTGGGTCAAAATTAGAAATTGAAATTTAAGCACCTTCCCGTTGTCAGATTGATCTGAAATTTTGTACACACATTTAATTTAGATGACAATACAATATTGTAGTTTTCAGTGCACATAAAATAAAACCGTTTAACTTAAAAGTTTTTAAACGGTTTTATCTTTAAAATATTTTTAGCAACTGCCCGTCGTCTTTCATTTGAAAATGGCACGGACGTATCTTTTCTAGCTTTGAATTATAAATCCTTATAAATTTTCCACATACTTAATATTATTATGTAAGTATCTCAGTTTGGAATCAACGATACATTAGGCAGTTAACAATGCAACGTTGAAACAAAATAAAATTTTCCATCCGACTGAAGTGTTAGCTGTAAGCAGCATATCTTCGCAATTGGCCCGTGAAAGTAAGCACGACCGGTCGTCGACTTGCGTCGCGTGCCAGCCGGGTGACTTATAGGTGGCATCAATGATCTATACCGCTATACCGATTTTACTTCTAACCGCGGACTTGTTTACATAAATCATAATTTGCCGGACCTCAAACGCCTCGATTCGGCGGCGTTGTGCCAGTTTCACGCCCGAGATCTTTAAAAAAAAAGTCAGTGGATGGTTTCCACGAGCCATAAGAAACAACTGGATATTGGCGAGGTGCTTATTTACATGATCGTGAATTTAAACGTAAAAAAATGAAACGTTTTAATTATTATTACATTTTAAAATTCCAATTGCTGATTAAATATGTTTTAGAAAAAAAAAGTTAAATATAATAATAATAATAGGCGACAATCGTGCATTAAACTTGTTCTGTAAGTAAATGGTTATTCTAAAAAAAGCACCCAAGGACAATAAAATGTTTAAGAAATCTTTATAGAACTAATCAATTCAATGAGTCATAAACAACTTAAAAAATAACTAAAGAATTATCGAATGTACACATTTACAACAAAAACGGTAGTAATGTTTTCATACTTTACTCTTTTTTTTTTTTGATCGTGCAGCGTAGTAGTGTTACTAAATTTAATTATTTCACATTGTTTTTACTATTCAATCAATCTTTATATTTTTCTGTTCTGAACATCATCTACCATTGTTATGGTATACGAGGCAAAAGCTACTGAGTATTAATAAACAATTTCCCTTTTTACACAGTAAAGTAATTGATTATGAATCATCGCCAAAATCGGTAAAAAGACCTTGGCACGGCAAACTTTACACTTGAACTGGTGATGTAGAATTTCGTAATGCTGCTAATTCCCTCCGTTATGTCGCCATTTTCTTATTATAAAGTCGTAAAAGAGGTGATGTCCCGTCGTTAAACTGAGATTAAGTACTTGAAGATAATCGCAGATATTTAAGCAATTGTATACCTAAATACTCGCTCGTGACTAGTGGTTAGATGATCAATTGAGCAACGTGCAACTCTGTATGAATTCTTATTTTAAAAAAATCTTCAGTAACTACAACTTTGTATATGTGTGCAATTATTCAATAACTAGTTACAGTTTTAATATATTCGTTAAGCTCTTGCAAACGAAATAACACACTGTAAATAAAGCGGATTTCCTTTATAACGAACTCTTTTTGTAACGATTTTTGGGCCCTGTAATGTAATGTAATATCAAATATATAAAAGTTCACAATCGGGATGCATATTTGCCAATATCTTAAGTGCTACGTTTTGTTGTATCTTACAAACCCACATACTCTCGTTTCCAAGAATGTATTCTTCACTGCATAAGTGTGAAGCAAATTACCATCACAACCGTGTATGTAAATATTTTGGCATGGCGTTGAAGAAATTCTAATTTATTTAAAGTTCCGTGAACAAAAATTTTAAAGGATTAAGACAAAGATATTTGATGACGGTACTATTTTAATCAGTAAACGCTATTAAAGTTTTGTGTGAATTAGAATAAAATGAAGTAAGAAACATAAATATAATGAAACCGTTTCAAAACGAGGCAAACAAAAGTATTCCTTTATGAACGATATACGTAAGGATTATTACGTTAATGTACGATAATGGTATTTAATTAATAATTATATGACGGATAAGTATTAAGGGCGAGCAAAATAAAACAATGTCCGTTAAGTGTAATCTTTGTTGAACATGGCTCAATTCGGGTATTGAAATAGCACCTGCTTAGTTTATGGTATGCGATCAACAAGGGAATATGACAACATAGTTATTAAACATTACGACTAGTGTCGTTCTCTTTAAAGAAAGGAAACGGTAACGGCCCCGTCTATCCGTTTACATAATTAGAAGTACTATTTAAGGCCGCGTGGGCTACGTTCGCCAAACATTCACGTAATAGCTGAGTGGCTTTATTCGTAATTTAATGACCGACAGACATATTGCGCTTCGGCCGGTTGGGAAACACATGTTGCAAGAGCTCCCGTCCTTATCGACGCGGCGAGGCTTCCTGCTCGTCCCGATATAGCGTCCACATTGTCAATAAATTAAAATAGCTTTAATACTGCAACATTGAGCGGCGCATCATGGACAGAACTCTGTGACGTGATTGGCATTAGTGTACATAATATTAGATGCTTCCAAATTGTCATTGACTCCGTGGCGCAGTTGCTAAGGTATTGGCTTCGGCGCCGGATATCGATTCTCACAGCCTCCTT